TTGTCATTCACATATATAACTATGCACATACACACAGTTGGAAGTACAAAACACATTTGTATTTTTGTATATTTTTATGGAAGTATATTTTTGTCATTCACATATATAACTATGCACATACACGACGAATGAAATCACACACCCTTAACCTATAAGAGGTTGGAAACTCTACTGATAACTCGTAAATCGGATACCACTAGACCAAAGGCCCTTTGGTATAAGAACGTTTTCAAAAATGCCTGGTTAGACCATGACCTTGTAGTAGCTGCACCAAAATGCATTTTGGTGTACACCATTGTGAGGACGATTACAAGCAACCAGTGAGACTCTTTTGGCACTGATGACCAACTAATAGTGCAAGTCAACCAGGACAGTAATTTCATCTTCACTTTGAAACTTTGGATCATCAAAACAAAGAATCCGCATACATTTTCAAAATTTAGACCATCAAAACAAAGAATCTGCATATATTTTCCAAGTAGACCAACAAAACAAATTTGTTGCTTTTAGCATATACTCTGAAACTTTGGACTGTCTACACATGAACTTCTATTTATTACTGCAAATATTGGCATATATTTGGGGTCCCTGAACTACGCTGAATTATAACACTATGTTATTTAGTAAATAAACTTTCATTAACATATACTCATATAGTATTTTTTATAATATAAAGACAAAGGTTCAAAAACCATTGTCCAACAATATTACCTTATCCAGGTAGATAGTTATGACTTATGAGTGCTTGGTTCAGCCACCATTTTATTTATATTTCAAGTTTGTGGGCTTGGGATTATGTACCAGTAAATTGTCTATAAGCGTATTAACATTCCTTGGCACATGTTTTCAACGGGATAATGCCTCTCCTAACAAAATATATACCTATTCTGGGTATGCTCACTTATTGTACTAAGCACCAAATTAGTATGATGAAAATTTGTGATAATGATCGAAAAGGTGAAATTTACATTTCGTTAGTAGTTTAGTCGCGAATAGACAAGTTCTAAGTTATAATCTCTGAACTTTCTAAATACCTAAATCAAGTAAATTGATCTTTGACTGGGAAGCAAATTCTAGTTGAACGAAACAGACATCATTTAAAATCGTTGTAGGTGCACATACACGTGTATCGGTAAGAAAGTGAGAAGTAAACCTGACTTCAGGATTGCCACTGATGTTGCGAACCAATTGCATTCCGCAGATTCCGACAGCGACGCCAACGGCAGCAAACAAAGGATAAACCTATCAAAATTCTCAGATCTATCAGATCAGATTCACCAATCATCATTCACGATTATATCGCTTATCCCTTTGATCGGCATATATATTCAAAACAAAACAAAAAAATAGAGAAAGTAAAAAAAAAAAAAAGAGAGAATAATATAGGAAGATCCATATCTACGAACCTCAGGCCTCAACCACCGCTTGAGCGCTGAAGAAGCCATTGTTGACACTTTCAGATGAGGCGGAAAAGATGCAGGAGAGATGGAAGGCGAGAGAGATCGTAAATGGTGGAGGAAGGAGACTCGGAGTTTATTCGTTTTATATAATAGGTTACCCTGGTTACCCATTCGAGGCAGAATTTTGTAACATACCCCCCTAATCTTTAAAGTTTTGGCAAATTACTTCCCTCAAACTAAAATTTAAAAATCGTTGCTAGCCGTCGAAACAAGTTGCACAACTTGAGTGAAAGAATGTTCGGCGTATTCAGTTATTTTGTTTAAAACTATAATGGTACTCGTACAATGTAATGAGATACATCTTAATTTTGATATATATTTTTTTTATCTCAGTCGATGTTATATTATGGTCTTATATAAATTTGAAAAAATGATAATATTTTTATTTTTGAATAAAATATAAATTTAAAAATATTATAAAAATTTGATAAAAATATATCGATATTAGTATCAAATTAACTATTTAAAATTCATATTTTTTGTGTAATTTTTTAATTATGATTTAATTTTTTCTACATGTGGGTTTT